TTCTTTTTTCGTGAACAAATAACGACATTGCAAATTATAAGTCACTTTTTTGCAATTTTCCCCGAGCAGCACATAGCGAGAGAAAAAAAAGGTGCAACGAAGACATTGTATCGCTGTGTCTCGTGTATTGAGTATGGTCTTGGTCATTTGCCATGTTTCGTTCACTAATCGACGATATCGAGACATGAGTTGATGTAAGCAATATAGACAATCTCACTCTCGAAAAGCATAGCGGAAAAAAGTGCAGAATGCTATGAAACCGGCCGAACGGATGGAAAAATATGCACTTCATAAATATTTGCGTCTAGATTTTTTTTCATGATGAATATAAAATGGCTGAAAACAACAAACAAACGAAAAAAAAGGCGAAGCGCAGAACAAACGAGAGACGAGAATTTGTGCGTCTGAGTGTGACCGCCGTAAACGCTTCTTCGTCTGCATAGCAGCAGTCCAGTGTACAATTATTCTTAATTACGACGATACTAGTAGCAAAGAATAGACGGCAAAAATCCAGAGGAGACAACACGAGATGCGAAATGCACTTATCCGGGCTGCACTTAGAAAAGCCATTTATTTTAGTATGGATTTTTCATCCGTAGACGACGACGACGCCGATGACGAACAACAACGACAAAAGAGGAACAACAAAAAGAAATTACAGAACAGACCACAGTCAGCTAAATTATTTTTGCCAGCAAAAAGAATGAGATCTTTTCTAATTATTGCCGTGTGAAACAAATGTATTCACTTTTAATTTTCGTTTCATCTTCTTTAACTCAAATCAGAACGCTCGAATCGTATAGAACTGAGGGGCATACACAAAAAATCTAAATTACCTTAGAACGAAATAGGAGCGTCTCAATTCGGATTTTTCTCCATTGGAAAAGACTTTGTCAGATTTTCAAAAAAACAAATCACCATAATTTCCGTTGTAAACGCTAATTTGAACAATCAACTGATCGATGCTTGAACGATCGCCACACTATCTAAAATCTTATCCAACATCGATAAAATATTCACTAACTTGATTTCGGGCCCTAAAAAATCCTGTGGAAATTGATTTGTGTTAGAAATTTTAAATTGCATAATGGATACCAATTCCGAATAAATTCATGTGGGTTTTCTGTTTGCTGTTCCCATCTGTGCTAATGAAAGTCGAGTTCGAAATTGGAGAAACATAATGATCGACAATCGATTCAGGGCAGAACAAAAAACAATCATCTGTTTCCATATAATTTAAGCCAAACTCGATCAACTGAAAAAAAAAATATCGAGAAAAAAACAAATCAGAAAAGACGATTTTCGATAAATCGATTCGGTTCGACCCTCATACTCGTTCAGTGAAGAAAAAAAGCCTGCTCCTGTTGTAATCGCACCAGACAATGTTTTAAATGTGTGTTGCCCTTTTCGATCCAGTCGATTGCATTCAAACCTCATCTCTGGACTGAAATTTTTTTCTCCCCATAATGGAAAAAATGAGCCGATAATCACACACGCGACTACAGTTCAAGCGTTCGTCAGCCTTTTTGCGATTAAGTCTGTATCTTTAGTTGTTACAAAGTGTCTGTTTGAAATCAAAGTTTGAACGATGCGTTTCACTTCTTACATAATTGTTCAATTGATTTCGGATTCTCCAATGGAATGAATATTGACTACAGTTCTAAACGAAATTATATAATGGACGTGTGTGTGTGTGTGTGTGTGTGTATGTATTTTTGGTACTTGTGTTCGATTCTTCTTATCACAGCGTTTCTTTCGATTGAAACCTTTTCACTTAAGAAAAAAAACGCTTCTCAATATTTTAGATGTGATTTTTTTCGATTTGTGTGTGTTCGGGTAGGTTTAGCTTTAACCTTCGGTCACATGCACAGGTCAGAGTCCAGGTTTTTCTAATTCATATTCTCTATATGATGAAAATCATGATGAAATCAAAATCATCGAAATGTTCCATGTTTGCCACAAATTTCTATAGATTTTGTTCGGTGACTTTGTACTTCATTATTGAGGTTCTTGAAGCAATCAGTTTGACCGACACAAAAATCAAATCATTTAGCGCACACACAGAACATTGTTAGTGAACAAGAGAAAAATCCATGAGACCGCGAAGGCGCACACACTCACAATTAAAATCGCAAATCATTTGAATGAGAGCTATACATATTGCACAGCCGCCTTGTCATTTCTCATCCCCGTTTTTGTGTTCGCTGATAATTTTTAATTGGTATTTTAATTAAAGCAATTTATAATCCGATCGGTTTTGACATTTTCGAAAGGATGAAATGCAACAAATTGATGCGAACATTTCAATGGGCTGTGCCATAGTAGCTGAAGGTTTTTTTTGTCTCCTTCTTCGTGTGTTCATTTGATTGCGAAAATGTGACTATTGGCTCTGACACACACTCAAATCCAACAGTTGTCACAGAATCAATGGGAATTTTCAGATTTTCTTGAGATTTTTGCAAATTTTTCTATTCGTCTAAAAATTTATTTTCACTACGCGAAGGTAGCCAAAATGGTTTCAATTTTCGTTTGTGTTCAGCTATCCTGAACAGTGTAACACAATGACTGAATTGTCCGTTTTGTCTGTATCGATGCCGCGCCTCTGATCGTTCGTCAATCGATTGGTTTTTATCAAAATGCAAAAGTACAAATGAACTCCCGTCTATCGCCCTTGTTAAAATTGCCAGACATGCGTTGCACAATTCACATTGTATCACAACGAGTTAAACATTTCAAACGGAACAGACGATAAGAATTTTCCGTTTTTATTTTAAATCATCAACCAAATTGAATGATTCTTAGAAAATGGAATTTTTTCAGTTGTCGTTAAAAACAAATTTTCCTATCAAATCTTTACTTGAGAAAATTATTCCATTTCAAAAAACTTTGATGAAAACTAAAATTTGGCTGAAATCTTGAAAATGATTGGCTTCATTCAGACATTCAAAAAAATCAATTCGATTCCTTGCAATCATCTCAATTACATGTGAACATGCAATAGAAATTATCATTTCTTCTATTTTTTCGACAGAGTTCAATGTGAGTTTAAGGTAATTGATCACTGATCAAATGCACTGCACTACGAAAACTTGGTATGCAAATATTATATAATTGCATGATATCTTGGTTGAACGCTTGTTGTTGTTTATTTCTGCGCATGCTAATCTGCTCCTTCTTTATTTAGCCGTTTTGTAATTTACGGGAATGTTATAACTTCAAAGCCGCATGACAAGCATTTTGATTGATAACTTGAACTGACAAATCTAAATACGGCGCTCATGTCTCAAAGAAAGTGATAACGTACGAATCGATGCATTACAACCAATCTCCTGGGTTCCAATTTGATTTGCCTCTGATTGATTCCGCACATAACCATGATTCAACGCAGAAATAGAAAAAAAAAACATACACAAAATGTCAAATAAAAGAAGATGAATCGATTCTTCTATAGAAAATTCTAAATATATAGAAGAAAGTAATTAAAGTAATGAAAACGGTAATTAAACATTGAATATTCCCGGCGAAATTATCTCAAGTAAATGCGCCAAATGATTGAAACTGAGTTGAGTTGTCAACAAGAAGTATTCGCGTACCCATCAATGTTTCAACGAATCAACCAGTTGAAATAAATAAATAAGAACTGGCCATAACAAGAGGAAAGGAGCGCAAAGATTTGAAGGGAAACAAAATTAATCACGTTTCATTTGCGTGACATAACCGAGCATTTGCATTGCCATTTGAACGCTGTGACTTGGTGAGATTTAGTCGGTTATTTATACGTGTGTGTCACTCTTTTTATGTGATGAATCTGCCACTTTTTCCATCTGTTTTCGAGCCACGAGCCAAGCTCATGATCAAATCACAGAAAATTACTCCAAAGATTTAATCTGCTCTGGCTTCATTTTTTTTTTTATTATTCTTTTCGTGTTTTCATTTCGTTATTGTTGTGTAAAAGAAAATTTCAATATTACCTGAAATGACCTAATCGCGACCAGCATATTTATTATTATATCAACAAAACAAAAATAAAAACAAAAACACCGCGCTATCAGCTGATGATACGGCTTTTACAGTTGCCATCGACGATATGTGCAAAAATACGCATTTCGTTTCGCCTCTTCCCTTTCGTTTCATTTATTTTTATTATTTTTTTTTTTATTAAAAGAATAAAAACATCACACCGCTCAAACGAATCCAGAGATATTCGGGGAATATTGCGTACTGTGAAATGGCAATAACAATTAAGAGCGTTCGACGGAAAACGGTGAAATCGAATATGATAAAATCGATGAATGGCAGCGATCGAACATGTTTTTCGCATTGCGATGTTGGATGATTCGCCTTGTAGTTTCCAGAAGATGAAATGCGCCAAAGATTCCATTCAATTTTCATGACGATATAAATATTCCATGGAGATGAACTAAATTATTCAAAAATAGGCATTAAATCCAAAGTGATGGCGTACGTGAGTGAATTGGATATAACAAACAAAAATGTAAGTGAAGAACCAAATAGATGTCTGTATGTTTGAGTGCAAAAAATAAAATGCATTAGTTTGTACATAAGTTCACCCTAGACGAATGTCGACAAACATCGGTCTCTAATACAATCATATGATCAATGTTTTCTCACTCTCTCTCTCCATCTCATGCATTCGAAACTACAATAAAAAAAAAAGAAAGTAAAGTGACATACACCAAGCAGCAATGGCTGAGCAGAGAAATAGGAAAGCGATGAGCAACACTCACTCACTCGGCAACACAATCCAAAAAGAAGTGATCCGCTCAAACAAACACATGCACACGTAAACCGATGAGCACACATACAAATGAATCAACGACATAGCGACAGCCGAAAATGAAAACAAAAACACATTGCAATGGCAAAAGTAAGGCCCCCACACGCACACACACACACACGCATTCGATAGCTCACACTTTAGTACATACACACACATGCACAGACGGACGATTTGCCTATATTTCATCGTGCATTGTTCGGCTGTGTGTTTCTTTTTTCATTCGACTGTTCGGCTCCCGACACCACACACTCTTGTTATATTTAAACGTTTTGTATGACAATTATTCAGTTCAGTTAAATTTTGTTTCTTTGACGAATCGAATCGACATCTTCTTTACATTTGCCTTCAACAACAGAAAATAACAAAAGAAAAATTAAACCAAATAATTTCTGTTCGCATATTAATTTCGACGTTGCAAGCAGAATCATTAAAACCGCTTTGCACTGCATCAGTTTTTTTTTTTGGAACTTAAATTGAAAGAAATTTATTGGAGTTCTACACACTGTCCTATTCTATTCTGTTTCATCACCAAGCGAAAAAAAAAAACAGAATCAACGTGCTTTCAATAGCTGTGCATTTATTGTGATAGACACTGAATCCGATAGAAGAATCCACCAAAATCGTTGTGATAAATTGTTGTTGTTTTTTTTTTGTCATCAGCTATTGCTGTTTTTAAAATTGGTTTTAAATTTGTTGCAATCACACATTGTTGATATATAATGTAATGGAACCATAGTCGATATGACAATTTTTTAATTTTCAAGTCGTAAATTTGAGAAAGAAATAGAAAAAAATAAATAAGAAAATCGTTGATTTGAGACAACCAGACTTTACAAAATCAAAGAAAACCCAAATTTTTTTCACATTTGATCGAACCGTAAAAAAACATTCAACAGTATAGTATGCACTTCCAATTGATTAAGAGAAATCCAAAGGATGAAGCCGAAACCCCAACTTTAAATAAATTTTTGCAAGAATTTTTCGCTTTGAGTATAATTTAGACAGTAAACGATTTTAACAAGTTGTTAAATAGTTGAAGAAACAACAAGCAAAAAAGCAGCAAAACAACATCAATAATCGAAAGTAAAGTGTAAAATTAAAAGCATTAATTTGTAATGATTGACAGAACTTTGAAATCCAGTTAAAAACCGTAAAAAAAACCCTTCAGTAATATTCTAACGACACAAAATTCAAATTAGTTGCATATACACCGTGAAAATACATTAACAATAACCCGAACGATAAATAAATAACAAACGAAAAACTACTCATTGAACATAGAACAATCAAAATCAATTTCTCGACAAGAAAAAAGGGCATTTCACCTGACGAAAATGTCATCATTGCAAGAGAACTCAACTGTACCGCTGGACGTTGTCAACAAGCGAAAAACACCGTTTACGCGCAGCGATTCCTTTGACAAATTTCAATACACTGCTTTCTATACGCTTCAATTAGCGGGTAAGTCATTTGATTTTTTTTTTCTTTGTGCGTATTAAAATATCGATGTATCTTACACAAGAAAAAGAGAAGACATAAAACACTTTTGCCATCATTTGTTGTCCATACGACGAAAGGGCAAAAGTTGTCATTTGTTGTTCATATTTTTCGTTTGTTGGTCGTTGCTTTCTATGTTGCTCTTTGCATATCGTACATTAATTTATGGAAAATCCCCAAAAATAAGCCAATTATGACGTTTGTCGGCAAGCCCAGCACAGTTATGTATGCTGCATATCGTCACAGAACGTCAAAGTTGAGCACAAACATCGAACGCATACATCGGCCGAAAAGACCAATTTGGGAAGTGTTTTTGAAGACTGATTATTCTTCAGCTAATATTTATTGATTTTTTCCCTGTTTTTTTTTTGTTTTTGTTTTCGTTCATTTTGTTTCTATTTTTTACCTGATGGTGCATTAAGTAAGAAGATGAAACCTTAGAAAGGTGAAACAAGTTTCTTATAAAAAAGAATGTACCGAACAACTAGAATGCAACAACGAATGGAAAACAACGATGACAACGACCAAAGTCCAACACAAACAAATCATTTCAAAGAAGCAACCTCCATAACTAGATTTTCTCTCTTAATGGTTTGTCTTTCGAATGGTCGTACGTCAGATTTGGATGCATTTCATTTGATTGTGTGTACTGCAGCAGCAGCAGCAGCGAACCAGTCATCAAACATTATGAAAACACAGAGCATTTAACTAACAAATTTAAATTAAGAGGCGAAAAAGTCATAAGAGAGATCGAGACCGAGAAAGAATGAGAGAGAGAGAGAGAGTGTGTGTGTTTGATAAAAACGCATTTATTTACGACAATCAAGACGAATCTCGTCAACGCAGAGGCACGGAAGTGACACATTTCACATGAGCAACAACGCACCGAACCAGATGTTTTTTTCTCCGTTGCTTAACGCTCTCTTTCGATTCATATCTTACACTTTTTATTTTGGGCGAAACGCACTCTTGTGTTTTTTTTTTTTTGCGTTGAACTCTATTAAATTTCCAACATAATCTATCTCGAACTCGAGTGTTGGTCTCTTGTGATATCAACCGAACAAAAAATATTATTTATAAATGTTTTTATATTCGTCATAAACCAGCAACAACCAAAAAATGAGTTCATCTAGGTATTGTTTTTTGTGCGTTACATTGCTCCGTAATAATCTAAATGACGAAAATAAACGCCACTTGAATGTATAATATACAGTTAGTAGGGTCAGTGTTGAGCGATTCTTTTTCTTCTCGTTTTTTCTTTGGCTTTGTTTTCATTCTTTGTCTGGAGCACACGAGACAAAAAACAAATTGCCGCCAGTTTGGCAATCAAATCGTTAAAAATAATATAGATTGATAACGCACAACGAATCCAATACATTAAAGACGTTCGACCAAAGCGGATCTGATTAAAAAAGCAAACCGAAAAAGAGAAAACACAAACAAAGCCCCACCAAAAAACATGAAGATGCGAATTCGTCACAAAAACCGCGATAAAATTACAGGGGGGAAAATTTGGAATGAAATTGTTATCTTAATATCAAAAATTCGGAGTGGCACACAATGATCAAAATTGAAGAAAGCGCATGAGTGCATGATAACATGGAACAAAAATGACTAGTGCAATGCTAATCCTTGACGTATTAATTCTGACGATGAAGTGAAAGGTATGATAGATAGAGAGAGAGCGTACACGAATCAAAGCAATTATCGGTCCAAAAGAATTTATTACCGTTTCAACTTGAGCTATTGTTGAGTGCATGTTTTGACATTTCCTCGAGCAGAAAAAAGTCAAGAAAGCCAATAAAAACCACGGTTGATTTTAAAGAAGCGATAGATTATCAAATCGGTGATCGTTCATTGCGTTCACACGTCTTTTGGTATTTCATACATTTTATCGCCATCATCCTTGTTTTGAGTGGATCCATTGACATGTGTTGAAAAATGACCATTGTTATCATTTTGATTCAAGTACTGTAAAGAAAATATCTCAGTACCCAGTACCGTTCCATCGAGAGGGGGAAAAAAATGAACGGCGCCCGAGAAATAGAAGAAATAAAAACTTCGTCGTAATAAGTTGTTACCCAACTCAAAACAAAGCATATCTCAACGCTGATAATGGCATGCGGTTTTATTTATATAGCAACGAGTCGTGAAAATTGCATATGAATTGTGCGAACCATGTAAAAACATTCTAATGATGAGATGGACGGCCAAAGAAGAAGAAGTAGAAAACGAAATAGAAAAATGGTGCAAATATTTGAATTATCTGTTCAGCGTTTTATTTCCAAGGCCAAACGCATGTCCACACATGAAAAAAGAATCATTAAAGCAAATAACGAAAACGAAGTAAAAATAAATCAAACATTTGCGGTTCAGTTCAAAAAACTTTTTTCTTTTTATGGGCCACAGCAACATCTATCATTTTGCTTCATAACATTAAGCATATCAGTTTAGAACGTGCAAATCCGCCGCTCAAAGACAGCTCTTATCATTCGAAAGAGAGAGAATTTTTTTTGTTGAAATATATTTTTTTTAGAGAAACGTGATATCATTGGTCTTGATTAGAACACACATACACAGAGAATAGAAAAATCACATTGAATTGTGTGGCCAGAACAAAAACGCAAAAAAAAATCATTTATTTACACCGTGTTTCAAAGATAATCGCTTTTATTCGCAAAATTAGTTTAATATACCTACTTGATTCGTCCCAAGCTAATGCCAAGATTAGATACATTACGAGATGTGCACGAATGTCTTTGATTTTATTTTTGGCTTTATATCTGATGAAATTGCCACGCGGCGGTAATTCATTAAATAATGTGCGTGTTTTGTTTATGTTATCAACTAGAATACGATATGGTTGCCCTTGTCTATGGTCACTTAATTGCATTGTACAAAATCGATAGCGAGTTTTTCTTTCTTTCGTTTTTTTTTTTGAAACATTATATTTAATTACTAACTAATTATTCATGTTCGTCTTTATCTTTTGTTGCATACACAGGTACGCTGTTGTCGCAAAAATCGTTGCTGCAAGTCCTCGATGAGCTGCAGTATAAATCGCGTATGATTTTAGAAAAGTATGCGGTGCACACAGTATGGCCCACATTCAAAATGATGTACGCAGTAATATTGTTCTGGATTGATGCCTTCACTCGATGCATGAAAATCAATGGCATATTCGAGGTAAGCCGAACGCGATGCATATTCAAATTAGATTCCGTGCATCAAGTGAATTGATCAATTTTTGAATTAATTTGCGAATGATAATCGAAAAACAAAAGAATGAAAAACTCGAAACAAATTACTTAATTAAAAATTAACAATTTAATGAGAGATGAAAATTTGTTGTTTTTTTTGTGTAATTTCCAGAAAAAAACACCATCAAATACTAATGTTGAACCAGAGAAAACCTATTGTTTACGAGTACAAAAGCGAAAGGAATCGTTAGTTACGGCGAAAGATCTATCGACCGCTGCTGTTGAAACACACAAACTTGCTGATCCACTCGATGAAAAACGTGTAAAACTTTTGGCCGAATTCGATGCGATTCATCCACATTTGCGTGGCAATTCGCTCGTGAAATCATGGAAATCGGACTCCGACTCGGAAATGGGCTCAAATAACAGTATTTCGACTCGAAATAGCATTGGCATGGTTGTGATTGTGTATGGCAGTGCGACACTAGTCTATATCCAATTGATGTTTTTGGCAGCATTCCTACAAACGGCCGCCACACCACCGGGTCTAGTGTTTTTGGTGTCTAGCTTAGGATACATCGCTTATATAGTATTTAAGGTACGAGTCAATTCTTCTTACTATTTTTGTTTTTCAATTCAGAAAAAGTGTTTCATTAAATTAAAAAGAGGCGGAAACAAAAGTTGCTGGAACTCGTTGCAAATTCCACAAATTTCATGCAAACAAATTGATAACTAATTGTTTATGAATCCATTCTAAATTTTAGATGGGTTTTGCCAAATCAAAGTCCAAAGATGAGCAACCATCAACGAACAAGACCAGATCTGCATCAACAAGTACCGCACCTGCCGAAGACACCGTTGGTGAACTGCCAGTGAAACAACGCAACGGTCGATTGGGCCGATCCAGTACACGGCGTTTTCTATACTTCCACAACAAAACTCTAAGCAAAATCAAGCTACTCTAAATCAAACCGATTCACCTCAACACACACACACACACACACATACCCATCACAACATTCCGTCACATTAGATTAGTTTGTCCATGCGACGGCACTATTCAGGTTCACAAATATTCTTGGGCTCATAAGCCAAAAAAAAAACGAGAAAAAAACCGAAAGGAAACCGAATGAGTTGAGGCCATCAAAAGCCTAAATTATTGTTATCATATCACTTTGCCATTTTGCAAATGTCTGTTTTATAAATAGCCAGTATGTTGATTGTATGAGTAAAAATACAAATTTATTGCGCCATGATCAATCGGACAATTGCTAAATATCAGAAAAAAAGACAATTTTCTTTTATCAAGTACAAAACCAATGTTTTCACACAAACATACGACGCAAAACAAAACACAACGACAACAACAACAACATCTTTATACAATAGTCCACAAAATCGATCATTTTTAAAATATATTGTAGATTAGTTTTAAGTTTTTTTATACAATAATTGAAATAAGAGATAAACACTTAAAAAATATGAATGAAAAAAAAAAACAAATTACAAATCATTTTACTGTACGAGTCTATATGATTTTTGATTATGTTAATTCTTAGGGTTAAATTTATGAACAAGAAAAAAAATAATCAACAAACATAAATGAAACAAACAACTTATTGTACACTAATATATGACTGGTCAACAAACAACATTGATAGACATTTTATTAAATTAGTTATGAATAAATAACATTGGTTATGAAGTGTGATCTGAAGTGATTTCAACTTCATTTTACGGTTTATACAGAAATCCATGGGTTTTTATTTCTTTGGCTAGGTAGAATATGATTGGGCTTCCCATTCCCGCTATGAAAGCGGAAATTTTACGATATTTGTCATGAATCGCGACCGATTTTTTTTTTCAAATCCTGATTTATTGAAATCCAGTTTTGAGCCAAATTTCGCCTGATTTTCTAGTTGAATTCGATAAAAGCCGACTTCATAGATGCACTAGGGGCATTTCTCACACAAAAAATTTGAGCAAATGTGCAAAAATGTCTATTATTTCTTCTTTTTTATTGAAATTGTAAGAAAATGTACTGAAATGACGATATTGCTTGAATAAAAGTGTTCTGGAAGTAGGTTTCAGTGGATCTCAAGGATCGTTCAGAACTGCTCCCGATTCTGGAGGTGGGTTTTGGTGGATCCTCAGGATGGACCAGATCCGGTTTGACAATGCCCTGGCCCATCCTGAAGATCCACTTCCAGAACCGGGAGCAGTTCTGAACGATCCTTGAGATCCACCAAAACCCACTTCCAGAACACAAGTTCAGTGTAAATGAACATTTATTTACACGAATAGATAAAAATTGATCGAATCGGACCGAACGGAAGAAATTTTTCAAATTTATAAGAATTCATTCATTCTTTTCGTGAGAAATGCCCCTAGTACGTGGGTTGCTATTTATATTTCGGGAATGAGTTACCTCCGATGACTATATCTAACTTTCGTGGTCATTTTCAGAAAATTCAACATTTCTTAAGCTTAAAACACTATAGTAGATATATTTTTCATATCTGGGTGTGTCTTAAGCCTTAGTCCCAAAATGACATCTAGAAAAACAGGAATTTTTGGAAATAAACTTCCTGTTTGGTGCGAATAGCATTGATTGTCCTTGTGTAAACTACTCAGAAATCTTCGTTCATTCCTAGTCTATTAATTCCTGGCCAATGAGACCATTATCGTATATTCTACACTTGGTTATATTCGATTGAATGATCATATCAAAAATTGAAAATTCTTGAAGTGAAAGAAAATTCCGAATTTCTTTGGCCAATTTTTCGGATATTCGCACTCCGAAAATTTCTGTTTTATTCAGAATTCATGGTACTACAATTCTCAAGTATGATAACAGTCATATAAATACTTTTTTCCGAGAACGAAGCATTGCAATCTGCGAAAATCGTCAGTTTTTTCAAAAGTAATTTTTTTTTTGTTATTTTCAAACACAGTATGTTGACTGAAATGTTCTGGCATGGCATGCCATACTTGGAAATGATAATTTTGTGATCTCTAGTGACGATTGCGAGCATTTCAGTCCATCAAAATTACATTTTTGAGAGCTTGTAAACCCATTTTGGTCCAAAACTCTTTTTTTGATGAAAAAAAAATCGGAGGTTTTGACATATTAACGGCATTTACGGCACTAAATCCACGTGTAATATTGACCGCATGTAAGTCATACTAATGCCCAAGGATGCCTCAATCTCACGATAAGTCACATGACCATTTCTCACTTTCAGATTTTTCACAGCGTCAATGTGTTCTGGCGTTACTGCTGAAATTTCACGACCTTCCCGCGGCTCGTCTTTGAGTGACTGCCACCCCCGTTTGAACTCATTGTACCAAATATATACGCTGGCCATGGATGGTGCTTCCTCGCCAAAATCGGAATGAAGTCGATTGAAACACTCCTGTTGAGATAGCTCCACTCGAAAATCGTAAAAAATTATTGCACGAAAATTTTCTCGAGACAATTCCATTTTTTCATCGAGTTGACCATGATGCATAGTGAATTGACAATTGACGTCTGAAGAAACTTATCTTAAAAAATGTCAAACTTTTCGACTGACCCAAAAATTTGCATCGGAAAATACTAGGAGAACCTTATTCCCGAAATATAAATAGCAACCTACGTAGATGCATGAAAATGAGTAACTAACAAACAGTCATTTCGAAAACTTGAATAGGAAGAATATGTGAAGGGTCCATGTCAATGGAGACATCTATGAAACGATATACTTATCGCATGTGTAAAGCTGTCGAAAGCTCAAGTCATAATTCAAGTTTTCACTAGAACATGCGCTGGCATTTTTGATTCTGATATTTGAATAGATGTCTCGCATGTTTTCTTCTGATACTTCGCTTTTGTTCAAAATCATATCAAATGAATTCAAATCAATCTGCAGGCCACTATTTAAGCTCAAAACTATATAATTCGAAGAAAATAATACCCAAAAGTTATACAATTGAAATCATCTTCATGCGGGACCGTAATTTTTGGAATGTGTTTTCAAATATACCCACATTTTGGAATGTGTTTTCTAGCTTTGACATACGGAATGGATTTGCATGTGATTGTGCATTGGTTCGGAACTGCAAACAATTCCACTGGCGGCACATAATCATTTCAATCACGCAAACTGCATTTTTCCGCATGTCGCCTTTGCTCCGATTTTTTTTTTCTTGCTTTGATTTCATGCCGTTCTTTTCTTCCTTCGTTTGTTGTTTCCTTCATTCCATCAATTTCGATTGGTCACATTATTGACCCAGAGAACGGGAGCTTAGGTGCATGAACGAAGAAATCGTAGCGTCCCCAATTTGTAACCAATGGATAAATCGGATCGGGTGCGAATTTATAAATATTTCAATCGAATTGTGTACAACATATTTTTCCGTTTGTTAAAATATTTACAAATTGTTTGATGTCAACACACACATACACGCGGATTATCATTTGACTTTGTTTATTCCGTTAGTGAGACAGAAACCAGGTGACTGAAATTATTTATCTTTTTGCTTGAATATGAACAAATTACGCGACAGCGTTCTACAAATGAAAGTGAATGTTGTTCAATGAACCGTTTGCATTGAGCGAATTTCGAAAACGCCAAAATTCAAATGTTCATTGTTCTGAATTGAGTAACATCATGTTACTAACATTGAACGGGATTAAAGATTCATTTGATTCGAGACGGATTGAGAATTCATTTGTTTTGATGTGACAGTTCGATAAAATACTGTGTGTGTGTGTGTGATTGAGAAAAATGAATGTAGGCATTTAACGTGATTGTCTCATGCATACATTTTAGAAGCATACAAGATGTGCGATAAAGATTTATGGTTGTTTTTGTCCCAATCCCGAGTGTCGTTCGAAATTTCAATGCACATTTTCACAAATGGTTCGGACTAACCCACTTCTTATTCTATGCACATGACCGAATTTAATCACGATTGGCAATTAAACTAGATCGTTGTTTATTGTTTGTCACACAACACGTCGATTGTACCCATCGACAGTATGTACTTCATTCAGTGCGAAATAATCACCGAAGCATTTCTTGTGAGTTCAACCATTTTTACTGGGATTGATGGATGAGTTCAAAAGGATTCAACGAAATATGGTTACAACACACTAATGTGATTTGATTGAATATCCATGTGTGAGAATGTATGCTTTTCGGCTTGATTGTCTGGAGTGTGCCTGGCTGACAGTCAGAATTTGTGTGGAAAATCCTTTTTTTATCCATTTTCAACATGTATAAAAGGAACATTCAAACATCAACGACAAAAGTGATTGAAAACACAATGTGATCGTGTATGATTGTTCAAAAGAATAGAATCTTGAATAGAATTAGATTTGAATAGACTATGCGTTCCACTATTTTGATCATTCTCATTTATTACGATCCTAGGAGCGGTTCACATTCGCGAATGCCATTGCCATTTGCAGAATAAGAGGCATTCGTACCTGTTTCGCCATGTATTCGGAGTGCGATCATTCGTGCGACGCTCCATAGTGAATGTATTAACACATTCGCACAAGCATTCGTAGCCATTCGCGAATAGCTACGAATACTTGTGTTCAGTCAAACGTCAGTAGCGATTGGGCGCTAAAAACGCCATAAGCAATGAGTTCACGTGTGTTTCAGATATTAAAAAAGAAATTGGGTGAAAAACTACCGGCAAATTTAGAAAAAATCATAATAAGTGCTGGATTTGAATGCGAAACTGCTCTGTTATCCATTGATTCTAAAAGCATTTGCGATATAGAAGAATTGATAAACGAACATAAATTTTATTTGAAAGATACGGCATACGAATATTGTCTGGCAAATAATTCAGTGTTCAAGTTCAAACCGGGACATCGAGCATTAATTTTGTCGATACTAAAAGTCTTGAATCGCTCCACCATAAATAAAAAAACAAAACAAAACCAGTGTAAAACAGTATTTTCATACGGAGTATTTTTGAGTTTTTCCAAATTTTCGTTCACAAATTCTTCAATGTCGTTGATAAATGTCACGGTCAATTAACATTAGCGATGAGAGTCATCAAGTGTCAAACGCACTTATTTCCAAAATTATTTTGATATCAACTGGAATTCCATTATTGGAAAATTTCTCTAATTCAGAAAAAAGTTTTTCGAGATCCTAAAAATAAAATGTATTGGGTCTGGGAATTAATCGTGTCGATTTTTCAAAAGATGGCGTAACTTTGCATGGTTGTATCGGGCAATACTTTTTTCTTTTTCACATGAGTGGTCTAGTGTCAAACTACAAAAATCATCATCTATCATTTCATCGAAGTTTGGATAAACATTTTTTTTTTGCGCCTTAAATATGTCAAATTTTGTACCGAAAAAGCAACATTTCCCGCAAGCATTAATTTTTTGCTTTCATTTGAAGAAAACTGCGGCTGAAGCGCATCGAATGTTGGTGGAAGCCTATGGTGAGCATGCTCCATCGGAACGTACATGTGAACGGTGGTTTTCACGGTTCAAAAGTGGTGATTTTAGCACGGAAGACAAGGAACGTCCCGGCCAGCCAAAAAAGTTTGAAGATGCGGAATTGGAGGCATTGCTCGATGAAGATTCGAGTCAAACTCAAGATGAGCTTGCCAGAGCATTGAATGTTGACCGAAGCACTGTTGGATATCGTTTAAGGGCCCTTGGTTTCATTCGCAAGTTGTCAAATTGGGTACCACATGAATTGACGCCGGCTCAAGCTGAAAGGCGTTTGGTGACTTGCGAAATGCTGCTCGCTAGGCACAAAAAAAGAGGTTTTCTGTATCGAATTGTCACTGGTGGCGAAAAATGGATTCATTACGATAACCCCAAGCGCAAAGCATCGTATGTTAAGCCCGGCCAACCAGCAACATCACAGCCAAAACAAGAAATTCACGGCGACAAGGTAATGCTGTCTATTTGGTGGGATGAGGAGGGAGTGGTGTATTATGAGCTGCTGAGAAGTGGTCAAACCATCGATGGGCCTTTCTACCGACAACAATTGATACGTTTGAAACAAGCAATCAAAGAAAAACGCACGAAATGGGAGACCAGAAAAGAGACATTGATTTTCCTACATGACAATGCTCGGCCACACATCGAGAAATCGGTCAAAAACTACTTGGAAAATAGCGGATGGGAAGTTTTGGCTCACGCCCCGTATAGCCCAGACCTGGCTCCTTCCGACTACCATTTGTTTCGATCGATGCAAAACCATATGGACGGAGAGCGGTTCTCTTCAGTTGAAGAAATCCAAAATTGGCTCGATGCATTTATAGCCTCAAAAGATGAGGAATTTTTTAAGGCAGGCATCCGTCAATTGCCCACATTGTGGCAGAAGGTCATCGCTTCCGATGGACAATATTTTGATTGAAATGTAATTTCATTTTGGTATTCAAATAAATGTTTGAAAATTAAAAAAAATCGACAAAACTAATTCCCAGACCCAATATGATATAATTTTTATATTAAATTAGCCTCAATAATGTTTTGTTTACCATTTTAACGACTTGAATTTGCACTGTTTCGACAAGTGTTTTGAATAATGTCGTTCGATTGTATTTGCATTCGTGCATTCGCAATGCTACCCATTTGAATAGCACACTCATTTGCAGTGCCATTCGTAACCATTCGCAAACATTCGCGAATGCTTGTATTTAAATACATTGAATGGTTGCATTCGCATTCGCACGCATTCGTAGCATTTGTAAATGTTTGTATCTAAATGCACGTACTAGCATTCGCCCATTCGCACAACTGGCACCATTTGCAGTTCGTAAATTCCCCCTGGTTACGATCGCTCAATTTTTTCTGTTCATATCAAGCACGACCGAATATATCAAGCACAAATGCTGAATGACATGGATTTGTGAGGAAAAGACATGGCCACAAACAATGTGTTTCTCATAGTTTTTGTTGTTGTTGTCGTTTTCAATCATACATACATAGAGTCCATAGTTTGGCTTGTGTTGGATAGCCACTGGAATTGGTGAGTGATGATTTGCATCCTTCGTAGTCAAAGTGTCGCGCAGCCTGAACGAAAATTCAATACGACAAAATAGTTGACGTGCCGCGAATATTCAATACTGAAGCAGTGAAACGAGCAATGAGAGCCAAAGTGCAAGTGTGCTATCGTTGGAAATGGAAACAAATCAAGCTCTCCCAACGAAAAATGTCACACACAAATATTTCCACATGTAGAACGACGACGGCGACAGCAACGACTACGAATTCGACGCTATGGCATCCACATTTTGTTTGGGCTTGTGTGTTCGTCATGTGTGTGTGTGTGTGTGTGAGTGTGTTCATGTTCACCGAAGTATAAGTGCTATCTGAGTATGAGTATGCGAGGCTTTATGTTTCTTTATAAAATATTTATCCTTTCGAAGCAGGCGCTGAAACGAAATCCATTCCACGCTTTCGCTTCTTCAAGAAAATACTGCTGTGATATTATGTTTGTAGTAAAAATTAACTTCTGACCTTTATTGCATGGTAAAATGTGTGCGAAACAAATTGTACGGCTGTTTGCCGTTGTTGGCGTTCGGAGGATAGAAATGAAAATCAGTTATTTTAGCCACTGATAGAAATACTGGATAGAGCCAGCCAGTGTGTGTGACTGAGAGAACGAACGAACGAACCGAGACTGTGTTCTGTGTGTTGTTATAACATTCATGAGTTGTGCTAGCTAGTGTGTGCTGTGTGCGCCTCGGTGAAATAGTTTACATCGCATAGCTTCATGATGTATTTATTTTAATATACGCGTAAATGTATGCATGGTGTATAGGTAAAAAGCACGACCAAACAGCACACAGAACACAAAGAGCACACTCTCAGCCCAATATATAGCCCAGTGTGGTGTGTTCAAACCGTCTTCTCTACTCGCTTGTTTTGGTCCCTGCGTGTATTTCGTATTATAATATTCAAAAGGCGTCGCACACTAAAATGCCACTTACTTGCCATATCGCACACAAAACGACAACGACAGCAACGGCTACGACGACAGCGACGACGACTGACTAGCAAAACAAATGCCGTGTGTATGAAATTTCAGTTGATCAAAGGTTTTTCGCGAAAATGAACGTGTCGCTCTCTGCCTGTATCCGTTTCGGCACACAACAATTCAACTGACTAACCGATCGATTTAAACCATGAAAACCAATAACAATAATCATAAGTTTTAACAGAAAATACGGAACCATACACGACGGTATGAAGCATCTGGCGAGTTACCGGCACAAACAATAACGCGGTGAATACAAGAAGGAAAAAAAAAACAGAATCAAGTAGGAAAAGTTAAACAAAAAAAAAAATTGTATTTAAAACCGAATATCGCCAGCGCGAATATATAAAAATAGAAAGATAAAAAAGGTCGTTCAGGTCTTTAATACTTAACGAATGAGAATCCAAATAAAATTGCATTTAGTGAATTGTGTGCGCATAGGAAAATAAATTGTGATTGTTAAAAAAAAAACTTCGTATAAACAACTCATAGTTGCGGTCATCAACGTCGAAAAAACGAAGAAAAAAAAATGTAAACTGATTCATATTTGTTTCGTCCCTTTCTAACCAAAGTCAAAACGTGCACGCAAAAATTTCCAATTGATTTCATCGTTTCAATGATCATTCGCACAACTTTCGTCTTCGATGAAAAATGTGTAACCAAATTAAATGCCAGATTATTATTATAGAGTGGCGGTGATAGGCTCCTTGACATAGGCTCTCTATGTTACAGCGCCTTTCGAAAACTTCATCTTAAATGTTGTGGTATCGTTAAAATGAAATTATCTCCCTTGAAATTCAATTAAATTCTGGTGTTATATTCTTAACAATCATATGTTCAAATGTCATTTTTCATCTCTCAATCATTCGAATAAAAACACACACACACACACACACACACACCCATGACCAATTCTAAAAATGTTGTTCTTGTGTACACCAAAATTTAATGAATAAAAAAAAAACAGAATAAAAATTATGTATATTAATGTGCCGCAACGCAACATCACACATAAACCGCTGAATAAATGCTGTGACAACTGCCAAATAGTCAAAATTTTGAAAGGCATCACCACCAAAAACAACAACAACAACAAAAAGCTAAATAAAAAAAAATACGATAAAATCGTCGTAAAACATGTGTGTGTGTGTGTGTGCACAGATTAGTTGCGTCGCGTGTCTATGTGTATTTCATCTCCTCTCGACATGCGTTGCGATCATACACATATATTTGGCCTATGAAAATTGGCTAGTATGAAACAAAAAAGAAACATCAGTCAAATAACATGAATATGCGCGCTGAAATCCGTTCATTTTTGCCGCTATTGCTGTGATATCAGTTCGTCCAGAAATTAAAATCTGTTGAATATTTTAAATATTTTCCAGAAAATGGGTTTTTTTCGCTTTATTTTTCGTCACTTAAATGTTCTGATAGAATTCAAGTGCAATTATTCAGCCACATATTGAATCATAGCATTCACAACGTTTTGTTTATACCATTTTAAATGAAATTGAACAACCGAGAATGCGATGATGATCTAATACATAATATATACTACAAGATAATTAGAAGAAAAACATGTTTTGTTTGTTGATTTGATTAACATCCAATTTGTTATGCACGTGCTCATCCGAAATAAACACATTTTTATTGAAGTTGAATCAAACGATTGAGTTTTTCACTGAAAAAGTGATCATTGGCTTGAATGGATATGTTTTTTTTACGAACCGTTTTCACAATTCAATCTTTTGATAAATGAATTTTAAACGGGTTTTCAGGCAAAAACTGAATGAAAAATGTTCAACGCATTACAATGAGTGTTCGCAAACTGCCAAAATAGAAAAAGAAAAAAAAACTGTGAATTTAAAAAAAATATAAAGCACTTATCATTATTATTGTGTTGTTTGTACAGTTGACATTCTAAACGTCTTCTCTGCCGCCGCTGCTGCCGCTGCTGCTGTTGTTGTTCGGTTCGTTCGAAGAAACGCATCGATTTATTATGTAAGATTTCAATGATGTGTAACATTGACGAGGAAAAATAGCCATCGATCAAAGTGTGTTTGCAGATCAAAGAAAATGAGACGTAATAATACGCCAATCGCTAATTACAATTTGTCGACGAATTTTATTCTCCCTTTCTTTGCCTCGTTGAAAGTGCGTTCTACATAAGTTGAGTTTTCATTAAGAGCTGATTTGTCTGTTTTTGCAGCAACAGCCAAGCTGATAAAAGTGAAACTCGGAATACAATTTTACGTTAGAGGTGAGCCGAAATAAATCAGTTCTAATGATTCACGATTTTCTTTTAATTTTTTTGCACAGATGACTCTCTCCCCTTCCCTTGTTCGCACGTAATTCAATTTTACATTGACAGATGATTGATACTGTTCATTTGGCATGAAAAGTGCCGTTTGCAAAATTTCGATGAAAATAACGCAAAAAGCGTGGAAACTCGGAGACGATCTTGATCTCGAGTGATCTGACACAATAAGGAAATTCAAAATACTCGATTAGAATATGCATAAAATGTACAATTGTACATATACCAACCTAGACGAAAATGACAAGTGAAACAGAAAAATAAACAGGAAAGTGAAGAGAAAATAAAACTTAGAATGTTGCTAATAGCTTAACGATCTTATTATGATGACTCTTATGACTCGTGTTCTATTTTCGTGAAACCTCACAGAAGCTTGTTTAGTGTGTACGCGCACATCTCACGTTTTAAGAAGACGATGTTCCACTATATCACAATGCTATTAAACGTGCAAATCTATTTAACCGTAAACCAAACAAAAATTAAGTCAAACATTTATCATCCGGTTGTGGATTGAGTAGAATGTCGTTACTTGCTGCTCATAAACTGAATAGAGCTTTTGTTCGCCTGTATTTGACTGAAATTCAAAAAGTGTGAAAAAAGGGCAAAATTCAATTCCGAAGTCAACGAAGGGAGGCACTTATTGATTGATCTATGCATATTCATCTTTGGCTGCAATTATCCGACTTTTTGCTGACCAAACGGTATTTGGTATACAAAGCCGCAGACATCTTTCGATCTTTCACTCATTCAGTCGCTGGCCAGAGTTTTCCTCTTCTTTTTTTTGCATTCTGTGAGGGTTCGAATGCTCGGGGTTTGGTTCTGTTTATGTATGGAATCTGATGTGTTTGCGAAGCGCCGTAAACACTACACATTGAATAATGCAATAACGATAACTTACTCAAGCAACAGTGCAAATCATTTAGTTGTTCAAATTGGAGACAGGAAACATGAAAGGAATAAAGAACACGCAACAACGCGCCCAAAACATCCACCAGCAGAGAAGACAGAACCAGAAGAAGTAGAGAGAGAGAGAGAGAGAGAGAGAGAGAGAGAGAGAGAGAGAGGGAAGGAAAAAAACTTAGAATTAAATGCATTGAAATGTGATATGGTGAGGAAATTAAGTCGTTGACTGCGTATTATTGATTCTTTTGTGATTCTTTTCCTTTTGCTCTCTCTCCCTCTCTCCCTCGTTCACTTTTTGCCGTTTATGCTGCTTAAACGCGAGTCAGCTTTCATCATTCTGTCGTTGGTCATGTGTGATTGTTGTTGTTCAGAAGCTTATGGTGGTGTGTTTGCTGCTCTTTTTCAGAGCCGATTGTTTTCTTCACTCCTTGTCTCCATTTCTCTTACTCACTCGTTCTCTTTTTTTTCTGTTGTTTCCAGCAGTTTAACGTATTTTTTTTTCTTTTCGTGAGCTCGGTATTTAGAACAATTGTGTATTTATTTGCTACTTCGGCTCAAAATATATGTATATGTCTGTTGAATGTGCGTTAAAATTCAAGACAGAGAGTGAGAAAGAAAAAAACTTGCATATATGTCTTTGTGCTTACGATCCTATTATATGCGCTAAATTGTAATCCGCATCGCAAGGAAACGAAACAAGAAAAAGACACACGACCTAAAGAAAAGGAAAACCTACTGAAGCAATAATCAGAGGATGAGAAAACACTCAAAACCATTGGGTGTGCTCAATGGGATATATGCAACTTTTTTGACCAGAAAAAAACGCCATCTTACGTCGTGCCCGTAAATTATTTTACTGTACATTTAGATGGTAGAGCTTGAACAAAAGTTCGACACTATGCATAAAGTTGGAAAGAGCTTGATAAACTTGATGAAATACATATATTTTATGGTCGTTGCAATACCCCTATGGGTGTGCTAAATACGAAAACATGAAAATCAGGAATACACACAACGACGACGATGGCGGCGACAGCGACGACGCTGATGACGACGATGATGGTTCAAACCGACAAAACTTCTGTTAAAAATGCCATAATATTGAGTCGCATACGGCAATGTAAAATTCGAAAATAGGGTGGAACCATTATTCATATATTTATTTTTCGCTTGCTCGCTCGTTTGCCCATTCACTTTAAATATTCCTTCTCAATTTAAATAATTTTTTCGAAATGTGTCAGTTACAAATCACAAGTTACTAAACACACACATTCGCGTACAAGACATTTTGTAAAACCTCATGTTCGCTCACATTCTAACTAGCTTCAAATTATTATTTCCCTAAAAGCGTCACGAAAATTGAAAGAAAAGCAGTAATAGCAAACGAAGAAAAAAAATAACACTCAAAAAACGTCATTGTTTTCGCATTTTATCCACTCTAATTGAATAGCACACTTTTTGATGCATGTGTATAGTGTGTATATATATATATATATTGCATATTTTATATAGAAAACAAATAAACTACAAATGATGTAGTTCACATGTTAAATTGAAATATAATAGCTCTTTACTGCATTGGTTTTGTTTGGTTTAGTTTTCTCTCGTCTTTGTTTCTTCTTTTCTCGCTCTCGTATTTTCGTTCGTTTCGATTTGGTTTTCTTTTTGCTCTCTATCTCCCCTTTTCTTCCTTTTTCTCGCTCGCTCGCTTTCCATTCGTTTCCTTACTTCGTTCGTCTTCTTAAGCGCTTTTTTTCTGCACTGTGATTTTCAGTTCACATATCCTGGTTTCATCATAGCCCAAAACTTTATTGCTCAGTTCTCAATTATGAAGTTTACTACTATTTGTTTGCGTTGATGTTGTTATTGTTGTTGTTATCTCTCTCTTATTCGCCATTCGCGTATGTACACACACACACACTTTGCCTTACTATTTATTTGATCTTGAATGGATTTTCCCGCGGGGGTATCATTACACTAACAACAACATCATTTGCAAAATGAAATTCGTTCAAAACCTGCTGACTCGGAGTGAACGCGCTCACTTTACAAACGCACTTGTTCATCTTGCCGGTTTGACAGCTAATGTCAAATCTACTTCTGTTTCAGTGTAGATTTCTGTTCGAACGCAAGCGTTTTCTCAGTATGGTCCGCAAAATTAAAAAAACAATTCTGCCACGAACCAGTCTTTATCTTGAATCTAACATTTTTTTTATGTATTTCAATAAACTCCAATATATCATATAAAACGAAAATGAAAGAAAAACAATTTTTTTCAAATACGGGTTTAATCTACCAAAAGAAAGCAATTTTTTTTTGTCTTGTGTGCCAGCGGCATATTTGCACAATTTTATTTGGCAGAATCGAAACATTTTTATTTATTTAAAATTCAAATAATAATTGAAGCATTGCGACAAACAAATTCCCTCAAAATATTTTAGTTTTCAAGTGCAACATAAAGTTTTTTTTTCATGTGGAGTTGTTGTTGTAAGCTCTATATAAAAAAAATTTCATGTTGCACTTTGAAACTAAAATATTCTGAGGGAATTTGTTTGTCGCAACGGTTCAATTATTATTTCACCGCACAACACAATGACGACTATGTTTGACACTGCATTCAATACACCCATCAATGTAGTTCCCGTTAAAATGTGTGGCGTTGTTGGTTTGACGTTTAATGATCGAGACTATCGCGGTGGATTTTCCGTTGTGATTTAGTGGCGGATAAATGCCGCCTTTTATAAAGTAATTGAAAAGGTGTGCGAGTGAGAGAGTGGTGCCATTTATTTATTCATTGGACATAAAAAGTCTCGAAAAATATGTGATAAGTTGGAATTTATTGCGAAACATCGGCCAAATATCGACATATTGAATATTTGCTGTGTGTCTGGTGTCGATCTGTTTTCCACTTCGAATTGTTTGTCTCAACTCGAAAAAGCGCCGTCCGCAACCCAAAATATCGAACGTTAATGATTTCAATTACTCAGAATAAATATATGCCGATGTCGTTTAATATTCAATTGAATCATTTCCAATTGAAGCTCATTCAGCACATGATCGACAATTGGTTATTATTCGATGCGAACCATTGTGTGGATGAAAGAGTGGTAATTTGAATCAGAGTGCGCGCACAGTAAATGTGTAGACAAACAATTATGAAGGGCAAAAAAAGTGGCATAAAAAATGAAAACAACGAATGAAACAACAGCAACGGTAATCGAAACCCTGCTGCACCACCAATGATTGGGTGTGTTTTCCATTTCGGTTGAGCCGCATTTGAATACAGGAGCGAAGAAAAAAAAAACGAAAAACAAAACAAAGATATATACCAGCAGTTGGATATCGTATTTTGTCGTTGGCTCGAATAAGTTAAATAGTAAATCCTTTTTCTAAATAGTCGCTTTTGACACAAAACTCAGTTTCAAAGAGCGAGAGTGAGAGCAAAAGCAATAGCGACAGAGAGAGAGAGAGAGAGAGAGAGAGAGAGAGAGCGAACGAGCAAATGCATGTGTTGCTTGGAAATCTGAAAGTGATTTCAGCAAAGTTTCCATCCATGCATGTGCGACGAGTGTGTTCGTATTTGTGTACGCTTGTGCTTGTCTTTGTGTTTCAATGTAAGCTTGAGGCTTTACGGTTTGACGAGAAAACTCAAACATCGCACCAAAACTTCAAACTATTCCGTTTTTTACTGCTTTCCTTCGTTCGCTCTCTCTTCGTTCGTGTGTGAGTACTATTCATTTGCTCCCACTTTTTCGTTTGAAAACAACGTTTTCCATTGGAACTGCAATCAATAACAAATACATGTGCTCCATGGTTTCCACTTCGATCCGTGTGAATGTTTAAGTGATTGGTGCTTGTTTATACTTTCCGCACACACAGGCACGCTCACACTCATACGTATCGGCTGTGTGCTAAACTAACATGAAATGCATGAATAAATGAATTTTGCTGCAATTGCTTGGGTATTGTGCGATAATTTCACCTTTAGGTATATCAAAAAGGGAACTAACACTTCACATTATTTACTTACGGTGAAATTA